TATAGATTGCAGGAAAACATTAATACGAGTTTCCTTCTCGTATTTAAAATAAAGAAATATATGTAAATAAAAATATGCAAATTTTTAAAATGAAGCTTTTATATGTAGTAAAGCTTTTAAAAATTATTGATTGCAAGGAAATTAATTTAAGAGTCTTTGCGTAAATCTTGGATCTGTTTGTTTGCTGGGGCCCTTCTTTAAGAAAATAATTACTTTTTGTTTCTGCAGGAAAGTTTCTTTCCTAAATAGAATTTTTCTTCTCTCCTTTAGCTTAAATTCCTTGTGCTCGATTGGACACAAGAAATTTCCATCTTTGAATAGAAACCTTTCATTATACCGACGTTACGGCTTCACTCTGAAGTGATTCAATTTCATTTGTGTATTTCTATATCCTGAGACCTTACTTATACCTATCTCTCTCTCTTATATGGATTTAGATCTTATTTAGATAAAGGAAAAATCTTAATATCTTTCTTTCTTTCTTGAAGGAGTGCCCTTCCTCTTTGTAAATATTAAATTCTGTTCCCTTATTAAATGGGACTATTATCATTTAAGATGGATTTTCCTTTTTCTTTTCATTTAATAATATACATTTTATATAAATTCTATATATATATACATTTTGAAAATAGAGCAATCCATGAATAAATCTTTAATTAAAAAGGCCTATATTGGATCAAAATATCATTTATTTTACCAATATTTTAGTTGGCTGAACGCCAACCTTTATCAAGGTATTATAACACATTAATATGTTATAATACCTTGAAAAAGGTTGGCGTTCTACCAACTGAAATATTGGTAAAATAAATTAAGATTTTATAGAAGGGCGTACCTGGATCCGTAAAGAAAAGAATAAACTTTTTTTGTCTTTACAGATCCAGGTACGCCTTTTTATATAATCTTAATTGATGGATAGCCTTTTTACTCAAAAAATAAATTATATTTCGATCCAATATATGCCTTTTTAATTAAAAAAAAATATATATACGTATATATTTTTAAAATATTGAGCAATATCCATAATTAATATTCATATTTAGAAAAGATGCACGTATTGGATTTATAAATATTTTTATTCTTCCAATATTTCGAATACTGATATTTATATAACCCAGGGAGCACAGAACGCCAACTACCCGAGAACTCCAGCACACCAGTATGGACTAGTGTTGAGCGCTTTCTACCTGCGTCCTGTTTTTATATTGCTGAGTTGAACCAGTTGACCAGAAAATGTCAAACCTCAACAGTGAGTGCAAGTAACCAAACAGGGCTCTCGCACACTTAAGTGCAAATGTCGAACTGCTTTTTTCATATGTAGACATGTGATGTATGATACAGTAAAAGCAGTAGCTAACTACTACCCCACCATGATTATCATGGCCTATACTTCGTGTATTAAGTATATAAAATAATAATAATAAAGAGTAGATTTATATAGTAAATAGAATACTCGTATATAATTTGGTGAAAAGAAATAGAATGCTGCAAGTGTGTTTTCTAATCCTGTTACGTCATTGATAAGAAATGACAACAGCGATGACATAAGACTCCAGAGATATTAAGAAGTCACGCTCTAACAAATTCATCTCAGGCGTCAACACCGACGTAAAAAATTATTCGGCATCTGTTTGAAGACAAGGCAAGCTGTTGATTGAGAGCGATACAAATTTACCTCAACACCTGTTTTATGAAATACAGAACTCCTGCTATTTTTAAGAGAATAGTCTTCGAAATAAACTTGTAATGGGTATTTTTCATTTTACACTCATGGAAAGAACTTAAGGAAGTTGTAAATTTCAGCATATATATCGGGATTCAGACAATAACTCTGAAAGATATTACAGTTACCTTTATTGAAGACACATGAGATAACCAAGTGTGAACCCAATTTCCTCTGTTTTTCACTAAAAGACGTGAGCACGCGTACACCAATCTCGTTCTACAAGTCCAAAGAAAGAATTGTATTTATAAATACAAAATAAGAGTTTAGCCTGTCCGGCATCTTTGCTTTGCCATAACCACAGATGTCTATTTTCGACCGCCACTATCCAGGTTTGAATCTCCTGACATGAGTGTATATTTAAAAGCCTATTTTTTTTAGCTAAAATATTTCCAACGGTGTCATTTAGCCATAGAAAGACCAACAAGCTTGATAAGTATATCTATCTATACATTTATAACTCATATTTACCAAGGATGTTGGTATTAATATAGAAAATCTGTTCTGTCGACAGATAGCATTATAAATATTAAATAAAATATATTCATTTAAAGTTTTTCATTAACTCTTAATAGATACACGTCTTGCAGCTACAATTATATTATGAATACTGCCAATACTACAAACTTTATCAATAATATTATGCAATATTTCATTTGATAATAAGTGGTCTTTCATGTTCTCTGTTCTCGAGCTATTCTAATTTTTCATCTTGAGTTCTCCTTTTAATCTAGTCTCTATTTTAAATTTTATATATAATTGAAAATGGTTCTTTATAAAATATTCCGAACAATTTCTATATATTATCCATAATACACATGTTATACAGGCCATGATAATCATGGTGGATAGTTAGCTCTTACTGTAAGTACATTACATGTTGTCTACACAAATAGAAAGCAGTTCGACCGTTACATTCACAAATGTACAAATGGGCCAGGGCCCATTTTGGTTACTTACACTCAATGGACATTTGCAACAATAGAGGGTCATTGAATCACCAGAAAAAAAGGTGCTCAATACGGTATTCGATCCCAGGTTGTATAAAATTTTATAGTGCATACCACTACTCTATAAGAAATTTACATGATATAAGATTTTTTTGATGGGAAGTCGTTGCTCATCATCTGTTAACTCTCCCAGCGGTTTCGCCAGTTTAAAAATCAGGCCGATCTACAATTGTGCATTAGACTGATTGTATAATATTGTAGTAAAGTATTAATTATTTTATTATCATATTACTTTAATTTATATATATATTATTTTACTCTGCGTAAACTTTTCTCATTGCGCGCTTCTATTTTATTTTATCAATTTGTGCCTAAATAAATTGCTTTGTCATTCTGAGGTTTTTATTTCCTAATTTTTAATCTGATAATATAGTATCAATTTATTTTTAAAAATTTTAAATGAAATTAGTATCAATATAGATTATGCATATGAGCATAAATAAAAAATAAGAAACAAATAGCGTTTAAAAATCGCATTGCATACAAATTTGCATTGAATATTTATATCCTAACCTTACATATATTCGTTGCATTTATATAAAAATATCCAATATACCAAAGTTTATTCCAATATATCACTATCAAATTATAAAACTATTTTTGAGGCGTATTATTCTTTTTAAAATAAAACAATTTCTACTGTCCTTACTGCGATGAAAAAATTAAAGGGAGGGCCTGGCTCATCAGTAGTGAACCCTCCCAGCGGTTTCGCCAGTTTAATCTACCATACCGCTGTTATATTGCATTTTTGGAACTTCCTTTTATAGGTGACCGTTGTAAGAATCTTGGAATGGGTATTTTAGAAGAACTATGGACATAAGCTTTTAGGAAGTTCCAAAAATGCAATATAACAGCGGTATGGTAGATTAAACTGGCGAAACCGCTGGGAGGGTTCACCACTGATGAGCCAGGCCCTCCCTTTAATTTTTTCATCGCAGTAAGGACAGTAGAAATTGTTTTATTTTAAAAAGAATAATACGCTTCAAAAATAGTTTTATAATTTGATAACAGATGGCGCTCTAGTACATCGTAACAATATATCACTATATTTTATATATAATTATAATAGATATTGAAGACAAATATAACAAGTTCCATATATATATAAAGAAAATAGGCAGTTATATACGATTTTATTTCATTTTTCTGTCGACAGATGGAGCTATTTTCAAAAATATTAGTCTACCGGGACCAATATGGTCACTGGTCAAAGAACATTTCTTTGATATAATCTCTTTTTTATTATTTTCAATAGATAGTATTTATTCGGGAATGAATATACTTCTTATTTTTTGTCGCGAATATATTTTTTTATTAATAAAATTTTTCTTATATCTCTATTTTAGAATTGATATCTAAATAGATTTTATTTTTGTAAATCTTGATAGAAATTATTTTATATTGAGGAATTATAAAGGAATTATTGAATTGTGGAATTTGCGAAATACGGTTATTAAAATTAAAATTACAAGTATCAGAGTCATCAACAAGTGGTAGAATGCTCGCCTGCCACGCTGCCGATGCAATTTTTTTTTACAATTTTTAAAACTCATTTATATTATTAAAATATATGTGCTTTTCTTGTCTATGTACAGATTTATGGTCTATGTAAACAAGTATACAAGTATGTATACAAGTTATTTGCAAATTGCGTTGCAAATTTGCCCTTTCGCTCGCAAGCAGCGCCTCTAGCGGTGAAGATGGGAGGTAATATCAGCTGACCAAATGGACATGTAAAACGTGTTTTAACAGGAAATAGAGAAAAATCTGGAAAATATATTTTTCGGATTTTTAGTTAAGAAAAATAAATTGACAGGTTCTGGGAAAAAAGTAGTTGTTTTTTATTCAGAAAATGATTATACAATATTGCTGTATCATATTTGATTATCAGATACAAAATTATATCCGGAAAAATTCCAAAAAGCAGAGACCACGGGTGAAGCCAGTTCATTTTTAGTATGCAGGAACAAAATTCTAACAGAAAAACATTCATTCGAGCAGAAGACACAAAGCCAGATCATCTCTTTATAAAAATATCGCTTCTCAGACACAAAGTTTGGAGCGGGACGTTTCACAAGAATGACATCCACGGCGCCAATTTATAATTGTAATGAATAGTATTTGAATAAAAGCATTTAATCGGGTAAAACCCGGGCGTTGCCCGGGTCATTCGGCTAGTATGTATATAAGTATCAGCCATCAATCAATTCTGTCATCGTTTGCTTTTGTGAATGGAATAAATACCGAAATATGGCCATTTCTTATAAGCATAGGTGGTTCAGTGGTAAAATGTTCGCCTGCCACGCGGGCGGGCCCGAGTTCGATTACCGGCCGTTGCATTTTTTTTTTTTTACAATTTTTAAAACTCATTTATATTATTCTACTAGCCGAATGACCAGGGCAACGCCCGGGTTTTACCCGATTAAATGCTTTTATTCAAATACTATTCCTTATAAATATAAATTGGCGCCGTGGATGTCATTCTTGTGAAACGTCCCGCTCCAAACTTTGTGTCTGAGAAGCGATATTTTTATAAAGAGATTCCTGGCTTTGTGTTTTCTGCTCGAATGAATGTTTTTCTGTTTCTGCAAACTAAAAATGAACTGGCTTCACCCATGGTCTCTACTTTTTGGAATTTTTCCAGATATAATTTTGTATCTGATAATCAAATATGATACAGCAATATTGTCATAATCATTTTCTGACTAAAAAAACAACTATTTTTGCCCAGAAATTGTCAATTTCAATTTTTCTTGGCTAAAAATGCGACAAATATATATTCCATATTTTTTATATGTCCTGTTAAAACACGTTTTACATGTACATTAGGTCAGCTGATATTACCTCCCATCTTCACCGCTAGAGGCGCAGCTTGCGAGCGAAAGAGCAAATTTGCAACTCAAATTTGCAAATAACTCGAAGAATATTCGGGATAGAGACCTAAAATATTCAATATAAGTTTTTCCAGATTCTACTATACATACTGTACTCATACATACGTATATTACGTAAAAGCATTCCATTCACAAAAGCAAACGATGACAGAATTGATGACTCTGATACTTGTATATTTTAATAATTTAAATGAGTTTTAAAAATAGTAAAAAAAAAATGCATAAACCGGGAATCGAACCCGGGCCGCCCGCGTGGCAGGCGAGCATTCTACCACTGAACCACCGATGCTTATAAGAAATGGCCATATTTGGGTATTTATTCCATTCACAAAAGCAAACGATGACAGAATTGATTGTTGATGACTCTGATTACTCATGATTCCCGGCCGATGCATTTTTTTTTAAACAATTTTTAAAACTCATTTATATTATTATCTTATATATAAAAGTCAATGTCTGTTGTCTGTTTCGCGATAAACTCAAAAACTACTGAACCAATTGGTACCAAATTTTGCATGTCGCTTTTTATAAACCCGTATTGATATTTTATGGCACTTCTACCATTTATTATTAATGTTATTTCAGTATGAAGGAAATTGCATTCGGGGGAATTCTCGGGCGAAGCCGGGTCATTCGTCTAGTGAATTATAAATAAGAATATTGATGATTTATATATAACAATTGGTGATATAGAATATCGTTTCTTCCAGATATCTTTTGTTTATATTTTATCTCTGTTTATTATATTTATGTTTTAGCTTATGTTGTTACTTTCTGAATTTATAAAAATATGTTATAAAAATCATTTTCTGGTTGTTAATTTGTTTTGAAAACATATTTAAACAAGATAAAATATTATTGGATAAAACTTAAGGAAGTGGAAAGTCTGATATCGCCGTTAGTCTGTTATTTTGAATGAAACAGAGTCAATTTTGTTTACACTTGGTTATCTCGTGTGTCTTAAATAAAGGTCACTGTGTATCAAATATCTTTGAGAGTAATTACCTGAATCCCGTTATGCATGCTGAAAGGTACAACTTCCTTAAATTTTGTCCATGAATGTATCTTTCAGAGTTATTGTCTGAATCCCGATATACATGCTAATAGGTACAACTTCCTTAAGTTATGTCCATGAGTGTATCTTTCAGAGTTATTGTCTCAATCCCGATATACATGTAAAAGGTACAACTTCCTCAAGTTATGTCCATGAGTATATCTTTCAGAGTTATTGTCTGAATCCCGATATACATGCTAAAAGGTACAACTTCCTTAAGTTTTGTCCATGAGTGTATTTCAAACCCAGAATAAAAGACAATAGTTTTATAAATGAAAGTAATATAAATAATTCTCTGTGCCATATATAAGGTTTATAAACAAGCTCTCACGTGTTTTTAAATGAGAAATATAATCCAAATTGAAACGCTTCAAATATAGGTTGTACATTCCAGAGGTGAAGAATTCAAAGGAATTGTAAATAAACAAGAGCTTCCACATGTTGAAATCCAGTAAAAGAAGACTACAGTAGAACTATGCGGCTAAAAAAGTAAGAGATAAAGAAGGAAAAGAACAATGGGAGACCCTGACACGACAAAGTGACATCAATGTTGTCACCGTGGTATTAGAACATGACTCAGCTCTGCACCAAGGACACTTTCTCTCTCTATTTAATAACACAATGTCAATGTTAACAATAGTTTGATATTTTCAGGAAGAGAATTTTGTAATCTATAAAAAGAAAGGCTCCCATTAAAATAGCCGTAGAACTAAGCGTCATCTAGTGACCATCTCATCAAACTAACGGACTCGGGATGGCGACAAAACCACTATACAAGTTTTGACACATTATGATTACATGCTTTCGACCTATAGATCTCGTCAGTATTATACAGACTTTAATTTCATGGGATTCATGATATATTTAATGATTCTGACAAAGAGGCGTTTAGCTGGTAGAACTTTCAGGTCCAATTTCTAAATTTTAGTAGTACTAGAATTTGAAGCCGTCACAATTGCGGAGGGTATATTCGAAGATTCCCTAAACCAGTATGTTCAAATTAAAAAAAAAACATTTCTACATTTTTTCTATAATATATTGTAGCGTAGAAATCAAGTCTTGGAATATCTTAAGATGTCAAAGTATTTATTGAAGACATCAGTACGACTAGTCGACAATTATTTAAAAATCAACAACCACAACAAAAAGGCTTTTATTAGGGCCCATTGCCCTGTATGGATTCGCCATACAACAACAAAATAATACAATATTTTTTCCCTCCCTATCCCCATGTGCACGCGAGTCTTCATTTGAAAAGGGATTTATTTACAAATCTGTTCTAAAACTTTCCTCACTACCTCTTTTGTGTATGAATCTATTTACAATTGATCTGTAGAAATTATAAAGTTCTATTGCTATAATTTTATTTTCTGAAATAGTTGTCAGCGTCTTCAGTGGGTTGCTAAATCTCCAGGTGTTTTTAAGAGTTTGATTATTAACAAATTAACAAACCAACCCAACTATCTACAGAATATCGAGCAAGTAAGCTAGACAAATAAATGATGATTTTCCAAATAAAAAGTAATAAAAAAATCGGTTTCAAATATTTCCATTGAATAATTAAATAATAAAATATAAATTGTTTCTTCGCTACAATATAAAAATACATCCAATCACAATTTAAGTACCTAACTACAAGAGTCACACAGTTGTCTTAATACAATAGATGTATATCTCCGGTATATGGAAAGAATCCCCAGAAACCTGTTGCCTTATTGAATAGTTGTCTTAAATCGTACAATACATGTCAATGTAAAGTTGTCCCATCTCTCCTGCAGTCGTCATTAATATCTATAAATATTCTGTTATTATCTATGATGGTAGGATGTAATTATGTTTAACATAAATATATGAAAAAAACAATAGAAAAAATGAAAAGGTCAGGTGTTGATATTAAAAATAAAAAAGGCATATCCTGACCAGGAGCACATGTGCTTTACAGAAGGCAGAGCACCATCTGGTGGAACAGAAATCAACTAAACATTGATTTAGCCTGTTCCCTAATATTTGGCCAACCCAATTTTTTGATAAACCAAGAAAAGCCATCCACGAATTCGTTTCGCGCTGTTGGCGCTCGTCAGCGTGGAGTAGGCTGTACCTAAATATATATATATACTAGACGAATGGCCCGGGCAACGCCCGGGTTTTACCCGAGTGCAAATATATTTTAAAAACGTTGTCTTGGGTGGTCGCTATAGACAGGGTGGTCTGTATAGACAGGTGTATGTATCACACAGCTGATAACAGGGTTGTCTAGAGTGGCCGCTAAAGACAGAGTGGTCTGTATAGACAGGTGTATGTATCACACTGCTGATAACAGGGTTGCCTAAAGTGACCGCTATAGACTGGGTGGTCTGTATAGACAGGTGAATGTAACACACTGATGATAACAGGGTTGCCTAAGGTGACCGCTATAGACAGGGTGGACTGTATAGACAGGTGGATGTATCACACAGCTGATAACAGGGTTGTCTAGAGTGGCCGCTATAGACAGGTGTATGTATCACACAGCTGATAACAGGGTTATCTAGAATGGCCGCTATATACAGGGTGGTCTGTAAAGACAGGTGGATGTATCACACAGCTGATAACAGGGTTGTCTAGAGTGGTCGCTATAGGCAGGGTGGTCAGTGGTCGCTACAGACAGGGTGGTCTGTATAGACAGGTGGATGTAACACACTGCTGATAACAGGGTTGTCTAGAATGGCCGCTATAGACAGGTGTATGTATCACACAGCTGATAACAGGGTTGTCTAGAGGGGGGCAGGGAGGACACGTGTTCGCCGGCAGCCAATGGGCGCGCATTCTATCCGTGAGCTTCAGACAGAATAAGGCAATTATATATATAGATATATAAGAAGAAAACAATAGAAAAAAAATTAAAATGTCAGGTGTTGATATTAAAAACAAAGTAGGCATATCTTGACCAGAAGCACATGTGCTTCTGTTTAGGATATGCCTACTTTGTTTTTAATATATACACGTATAAATTCATTTTGATAATAAAAAGGCATATATTGGATTGAATTAAAGATTTATTTGCCAATATTTCAGTTGTTTAAATAAATATTTTATTCAATCAAATATATGCCATTTTATTATCTAAATTTAAATTTTGATTTAATTATGGGTTGCTTTATTTCCAGAATATATATAAATATATACTTCATTAAGTTGCATAGGATGAAATTCGTATATCAAAAGAGGCACCTCTCCCTTTAATTATGTATCAGGAAAATTCACTTGCTTATCACTACAATAAACACTTTACTAGTGATGACGAGGAATGTTCCACAACACCAGTTTTGGAAAATTCAGACAAAAGCCAACAACCTGTATACCCTGTTACAGGGCTATGGACTTCATCAGTACAGCGGCGGTGGCTCTGATT